CGTTCTACATAGTCTCCCTGAACACAAGACCAAGTTGCGACAACGAGGTCAACCCACTTCTATAAGCTATGTTTAATTCAAAAGAAACATAAGGTTTACGCATAACGATGGGAGAAAATTCAAGTATCTTATCAATATCTCTTATTAAGTCTCTAAATTGTTAATTTTGTTTCGAAATTATTTCAATTATATGTTGAAATCATCTTAAATGTATCGTAAATTTGTTTCTATATAGTTCTCATCCTTTTTATTTATCTTCTTATAAGCTTTTGGTTTATTTTAACCTTTACTTTTATGGATTTTATTATGGCTTATTATGTTTTAATTCACTTGAAATAATGATGTTTTTCCACTTCTTGTCAGGTCGATATAGCGCCTATACAGAAACTGCTCAAAAAATGTGCTCTTACGTAGTCGAAGAGTTTTGCCACAAAGAAATGAAATTGATGAGACTGGAATCATTGGTCAATCCTCTTTTAGACGAGAATGATCTTGTTGGCCTTAGTTATCTACTAACACAGGCAGTTGACGCGATGAGGGCTGTAGAAAATAGTCGGCCCTTTCATTTTCCTGTGGATAAAAAACGCTACCCTGTGAGTCGTATGCTTATTTTTATTTTTATTTATCCGCTCTCGGTATTTTGATTTGCATTTATTTTTTGTTCATGCTTTATAGCTCACTTCATGACTAACCTTTCTCTATTTCCGTTTTCCAAGCACTATTATAAGAAAATTCAACGCCCCTTGGACTTGAGCACATTGGAGAGACTAGTCAAAGAAAATAGATATCATAGTCGAGATGAGTTTTTTGTTGATGCTGATCTGCTAGTCTCCAACTGCATCGCTTTTAATGGAGCTGACAGCCCACTGACTACAGTTGCCACTCGAATGTTAGATGCAGCTCACTCTCGGCTCAAAGAGAGTAAAGAGACTCTTGATACTATAGAGGCAAATATTAAAAGGTTCGATATCAATAATGACCTATTGCAAATTACCTTTATTTTTTTCAAATTTGTTTCTTTCATATTGCTTGTTTTCTTTGATGGCTATCACAAGCATTTACACCCGTTATTTATGTGAGTGCATTTCGAAACGTATTTATTTTATTCCATTTATACAACTTACCTTATTTCCTTAATTGCTCATCCTCATGCTACTTTTAAGAATGTTTCATGTAGAGGTATACTTTTTTTAATATGCATAAAACTAAGGGCAAACATTCGATTCCCTCCGAGTTTTAGGGCTTCATGAATTTATGCCTAGTCAATTTGTCTCAACAAATTTTATACAGGCTTAGCAACGGCAGAAAAATTCACTTATCTTTTAATATTTTCACTTACACTCAAAAACATATACTGCAGTTTCGACCTTAGTCTCATCTGCAGCACCAGTGTACTCAAACTCGGTTAGTGCTGTGTTTTGTCTCGACACTATGCTTCCCCTGCCTCGTGCACCCTTGAGTCAGCAGACAGAAATGTGTTTCAGGAATTTCTAATATCACTTTCTGTTGTGAGATGGAGTAAGGTGTTATTTGCTATCACACTCGATTACATTACTTTCGTTTATAAGTGGGTTTTCGAGACTACCATAATATCTTAAATAAAAACTGTATATACCCTATTTCATTTATGGTGACAAAATCTACTTCAGTTTTGTGATCCGAGATCGCTCGTGGCATTGTGGTATACAAATTAAAGCGTCGCGACTATACTCTATACAAGCTCTAAACGAATAAGGTTTAATAATCTTCTTACTCATGCTTAGATGG